AGCAAGAGAAAATAGAAATAGGTCATTAAAAAAAGTGAAAAATAGATGTAAAAGATCTTTCAGTATAAGAGAAAAAAAGAATATGAGTAGCGAAAATGGGGTTGGGATGAATAATGGAAAAAGATTATGAAAGAAGAGATTAGGATAAAAATGGTCAAGAAAGTTACGGTCGATTCGTCATCAAACCCGTGCTCAGTTTTTTTCCAGTTTTTTCAGTCCGGATCCAAGTGAGTGACCCAATGATATCTCCTTCTTGTGTTTTCCAACACATTCCTGCAATGTAATTATAGAGTATAGTATAGGCAATCATCGATATGATTTGTAATTTTGGAGTGTTCATTCTTACGCTTGCTTCTGTGTGTGTGCAATGAGGTCGGTTATCACCAAGGTAAGTCTCTCAGTACTTATTTTCTGGTTATGTTATTATTATGTGAAATTAAACCGTTTATTGATCTGTTACAGGTTTTTTGGTGTATATAACATAAATGTTATTGTTTCTGCCATCTGACTGCACCGCCTTATTTCATCATTGAAATAATGGTGTTTCTGATTTTAGCATGCAAACTCATTGCATATAACAGAAACTAATTACTTATTTTTCTCTTTTTAACCATCTTTTTAATCTCTGAGGTGTTTGTATTTCTACAATTTTTTCCGTATGCTCAAAAACATGAATATCTTTAAAAATTAGAAAACGCATTTTAGCGGTTCTCCTGCCTGCAAGGAAATATGCAAGTTTTAGTAAGAATAGGCGCAGATGATTACGTTATTATGAAATCCGTAAAACCGTGCATACGATGCGTAGATGTAAATCATTTTTGCTTTGTAAGTACAAAATCATACATTTCTAACGATCAAAGGACGTTTCTATTTAGCGTCTCCTCTTGTCTATACGTCTATAGGTAGAAACATATATAATGAATCATCATTTTCTTGTCACTATCTTTTTATTGTAAACTCGAAGGTGCGTATATCTCTCAAGCACAAAACGTTAAGCTCTCCCTATGCTGTAAATAGAAAACTACAAAGACACCCATACTACTTCACTGCTCATTCATCAATGGCAGCAGCTGACTGGTCTATTGTATCTGGCTCGCCAAACGCGTCATCTTTACCCACTCGACTTTGTCGCATTGACCAGATTTCGCTTCTTTATTGCTTGTGGTACGTATTCATTATCTGTGAAAAATTTTTTCCAGTGAAGTTATTCAGAAGTGAAATGGATTCCATTGCTATTGGGTTTTTTCACTTATTTAACTTCGTATCCAAATTAAGTTCATCAGAAGGATTTAGATATCAATAATTATATAGCAGTATTTTAGTGAATTTCAACAGCAAGTGGTGCAAGCATTTTAGTCATTTTGATTAGTAACGACAGAACCCCTAACTGAGAGAAAAAAAACAAGAAAGGAAAGTCTCAAACATCTCTGGTCTCAAACAATGGTACGAAATAAGACTAAAGGATAAGTGGTGGTATAAAATTTGAAAACTTGGATTGCTACTTTAATTGTTTACGCACAATATTACACTTTGATCAGGTTTTGTTTAATAAAGTTGAATTTGAATGTTCAAACAGTAGGAGGAAACTTGCATATGCTGTGAACTACCATTGAAAAGTAATCTGAATATATTTTACGAAAACGAATTCATCATGGCATGCGCAAGATTCACTCTAAAAAGAAAAGTAAATAGATTGACACGAGCGTGTGTGTTATCTATTTACGAGTGTCTAGTCTTTCATAGGTGTGTTTTCCAATATCGATGTAGTCCAGCGTGTGTGTTGAACTGTATGTAAACTGGCCTCGCCTGTATGTGTAATGCCTTACATGTGTCTAGTTATACGTGCATGTATTGTCTTTTATGTATGTCTAGTCTAGCATGTGTGAGTTGTCCTTTACT